TAATCAGCGAAGTGGCAATCTTGAAAGAATTAACATCACAAACTTCTCTGCAAGGCACAATTCGGGTTGGATTCGCATCTAAAAACTCATAGCCTCACTAAAATAAAAAGTGCGAAAACAAATACAACTGAAAGGAGTTTTGTCAAACGGGGTTGCCAAGAATAAAACCTAACAATCCTGAAATTAATTCTACTTTTAAATATCAAGATCGATGGTTAGATTTTGGGCCTAATATACATGTGTGTTTTGATTGTGGTTATTTTAAAACTTTTCAAAAATCAAGTAGAGGAAGTGTAACTTTGGAGAATGGATCAATCGCACCATACTTGGCATTGGAAATATAGATTTGAAGATGACTTCTAGAAATATCTTAACTTTGAAAGATGTGCGATATGCGGATTTGTTCTTCCCAGTGGGTCACCCATCCTAGAACTACTCCAGCCTAAGCACGCTTAACTGGGGAGTTCTAATAGGGATTTCACCACTTTGGAAAAGGCCTCGATGCTATATAAGGGTCCAGGTTTTTACTTTTATAGCCCAGGAACTCCCCCTCCATTCCCGATGTGGGACACCGGGGCCTTACAATACTTTGTAACGCCCCACTCCCGGGTCGTTAAATACACTAAAATAGCCTAAAAAAAATTACAAGTTTTGCTCCCAAAAATAATAACTACAAAATTGTCTCCAAATGGTACAATATCCTCCAAAATAAACAATATTACAACTATCTCCATAATTAAAGTGGTAGATCCCAAATCTCTGTATTAATAAATCTTTCTAATTCTCAATTTCGAGCTCTGCTAAAATCTGCTTTGCACCTGAAAAATAAATTAATTCGGGAAGTATACAATACGACAGGAATACAAGGCTCGGATACAGAATAAATTAACAGAAACCCAACAATTTATGACACTAAATCAACGATACGATAATCAAGCAATTTACCAAATTGCACAACAAATCAACCATAATTTATCTAGACCAAACACTCAGTCCTACTCAGTACATGACCAGTGAATAAATTCATTTATTCACCCACCTCACCCAAGCTCCACGCTTATCCGGGCATATTGGTGTAAACAATTAATAGGATTCACTCGATCCATGTACGGAGTATTTCCATGTCATTCAGTCAGACAAATCACCATTTAACGCATAAATATTTGTAGAGAATTTTACCAAACGATCAGAATATCAACGATTCAACAACGAACGATTTTACGAAATCTATTAATAACCATATTAATCAAGTGGATTACAAATTGAGGATGATTAAAAATATAGAACTCTTTACAAAGAGATTTAAATAGAGCATATTGTATACAACCCGAATTTACCTCATAATAATTGACTTCGTCACCATAAATCTGAAATTACTCCATGGATCTCCAAAAATAACTCTGATTAAACTTCTAAAGCATAGGATATGTATATTTTGACAAAATCTACAATTCTCCTCCTTAATGAAATTATAAACACTCACTTTAAATACTCCCAATCAAAAAAAAAAAACAAATTGTGAAGGAGAGAGAGCAACGGAAGTATGGAAGAAGAAGAAAAAAGAGAAAGTTGAGAGAATGAAGGAGGGTTCTGCTCAATTTATAGTGAAAGGAACTTAGGGCTAAGGAAATAGAATAAAAAAAATTAAAATAAAAAGGAAAATAAAGGACAACTTTATGGGAAAGGAAAATGGATGGTTGAACATGGCAGTGGGCTTGCAACCCACGTTTCCATATATAAAAAAATTAAAAGAATGAAATGGTGAAAGGATGGAATGATAGAATGGTGGTTTTGCTCTAGGAAGTGAGGGAATTGTGGGTAAAGCCCACGGTTTTGTCTTTTCTTTTTTTTTTCTTCTTTTTTTTCACGTGATGGGAAATTGTGGGGAAAATTAATTTATTATTATATCTGAATAAATAACAATATGATAGATATAAAAGGGATGAGATAAATACAAATAATTAATTTAAAATTAGATTCTTATCTAAAAATCTCACCCTTAAATTATCATAATAAACCACCAATACTACTCACTAAATATTAATATTTCGAAAATACGGGGTGTCACAATATTGGAGTTCGGCCATGGTAAAAACCATCTCACTTGGTTTAAGCAGTGAGGGGGGTGTTGAAGGATAAGCATTATCTTTCAGGAGTATGAATCCTAGGAGGACTCTACATGGAGGAGTAAGAGTCCTCCTTGGATTGTAACACGCGAAACCTATAAAAGCTCACAAACATCACCTATGGAGAGGTAACACAACTTTGATTCTTTGATACACAGAGCTTTTTGCCTACTTGTCTATTTTTGCTGACTTAGGCATCGGAGGGGTTTCCGGCACACAACCGCCGGCTAGCTCACGTTTGTGTTTTCAGGGAGTAAAGCGAAGACGTTTGGAGGAGCGCAGACTTGATCAACAGGATTATACGAGAAGGTTTTATTTCTTTCCCGTACAATTGGCGCCGTCTGTGGGAAAAACAGACAGGACAAAACCTCTTGATCAAGCTTTACCTCTTTAGAAACAATGGCACATAATGAAGAATTACCACAGTCCGCCATCAACGGGCAAACACCGGATGGGGGTGCAAGGCGTGAAGGATTACCTTCTATCCCTCCCATGGCGGACTTGGAGCCCTAACGACATAACTCCAGGAGGGATACGAGGGGAAGGCGGACTAACAGCCCCCATCACTCTCATTCACAAAGTCCTGACAAGCAAAGGCAGAGGATTGATCCTCAAGTTTTGCAGGACCGCGTGAAGAAGCAAGACGAATTAATAAGGAAGATGACGGTGGACATGGAGGCCTTGAAGCGCCAGATGAAGGGAAAAGGAGTGGCGACAGGAGAGGGGCGCAAAAACAAAACGCCCTCTCGCCACTCAGAAGACCGTGGAAGGTATTCCACATCATCACAAGCAGAAAGTAGAAGCCTCAGGACAGGCGATACTCAGTCTAGAACTCCAGAACTCGTTACTACCAGTCTGACGGAGAACGAGATCATTGAGGTCTTACACAGAGGGAAGTACTACCGACCCTCGCACTCGACCAGCTATCATCTAGCAAATGGAGGTTGCCCAAATCATTCGATTTGACCGGATCATTGCTGGAGAAAGGGCAAATGAAATAAGGAAGATACTAGGGCGCTGCGACCCTACGCAGAGTTTCCTGCCTTCAACAATTGACTCCTCGATCGCATAGAAACGCGAGGTTGGAATGCCATTACCAGGACGCCCTGCCTACGAACGGCAACGGACAAAGCAATTAGCAAGGCTGCAAGACCTCGCCGTTCGTTCCGGCCAATACGAAAACGGCGCGCCTACCCTACAGGCTTCCTTCAGCCCAAATTCACTACATACGAGGGGAAAAACGGACCCCTACATTCACCTAAGCCACTTCGCCAGGTTATGGCGTATATGGCGAAAGAGGCTCTACATGCAT